GCTAAACCAAATGTTTACAGGCTACAGTAAAATTAAAGAATGATCTTATAATACGAAATTACAGATTTTACAAAAAATGCTACAGCATGTATTCAAAGACTATTAATTAACTTATTTTACCTTTAACTTGCACTTTGTTTCATCATAAATCTTAACTTTGTGACCTAGGCCAGTGCCTTTTGTTCTTATCACCATCTAACAAGGCCATCGTGAAATGATTATAAAGCGAAAGTAGATGTAAAAATATCTACCGGATGTTAAGAATACAAGACAACTCGGATCAAAACAAACCCGGACCACTTTGTATAACAAACTCGGATCTTTTTTCACGACAAACTCGGATACAAACCAACGTTGACCGTAACACACTCGGGCCACTTTTCAAGACAAACTCGGACACAAACCAACTCGGACCACGTTCTATAACACACTCGGACTGACTTTTCATGGCAAACTCGGACACAAACCAACTCGGACCACTTTCTATAATACACTCGACCACTTTTTTTATTATCTTGTTGGTTTTCAGAGTCATCAAGTGTAGCAGCCCTACCTGAGGAAGATGCCACAGAAGATGATAGTTTCTTATCTGCCAATCTTTCATTCAGTCTAGATTCTCCAAGAAATCCTACACCTCCTGCTTCTCCATTGAGTCCATCTATTCTCCAGACACCACCACAACCAGGCCCTTCAAGACTACAACCAAAAACTCCACCTAGACAAACAGCTTTACAAGGACTTACTCAAGGACAGAGGTATTTGAAATATTAAGTTGAAGATTTGATTTTGGAGAGGGGATGTTCAGATTTAAAAAAAAATAATTTGGCCTTGGTAAAGTCCTACTACTAATTCCATTTACTTAATATATTGGCAAAAGAATTATATGTAAAATAAGGACTCAAGATGAAAATAACAAATTACAACAACTTGGATTAACAGAAAATCTACAAACTCTATTTCAACCAATATTGAAAAGTCAAGAAGATATTATAAAGAGACTCGCGCCTTCACCTCATAAAAATCACCCGGAACCGATTGAATATGGTGGTTTTATAATTAGGACATTAGATGATACAAAACATTATTTTTCAAATCCAAACCCAGATTTGCCAAAGAGCATTACACCAATTGTTGATAATGAAGGGTTTTTTGTTTAATGGATTTAGAATAAGATTTAGTGGAAATTCACCTATATTCAAAATCGATACAAAAGATTTTATATTTACATTAACAGAAGGATTAATAGATTTAGTGAATGGCGGGGATGTTGATATTGCCGATTACAAGGATTTAGTAGAATACTCAGAATTTCTACATATGATAAGAAAGACGGGGCCCGAAACAAGAAGATTAAAAGAAGTTGATCTATATATAAAAGCNTATTAATCAAGATGATGAATATGCT